GGTGATGCTTTGTGTCTCACCTACCCCTCACCTCCAGGCCCAGTGAGGGGCCCACCTGGGACATAGGCATCTCCCCGGAGCTGATCAGGCAGGTGGCCCCAGTTGGGTGGCTGTGGACGCCGACTCCTGACCAGGAAGGTACGGGGCATCACCTCCAGGAATGGTGAGATGGCCCCACACAGACGACTGCTTCTTCCACCTACAGTCACACCTCAGCCCCAGGATGACTGGAGGGGGAAGGGAGGGAGGGGGGAGCCCTGGAGGAGACTCATTCTCTCCATGCAAATTTTGTGACCAGCCCAGGGAGCCGACTTAGCTGGCTCCAGTTACCTTTGCCTCGGGACCCACCATTCCTCCCCCTTCTCCTACACCAGGTTCCTGAGGGCACTCTCCAGCCACCAGGGGCAGCCAAGCGCTAGGACCCCCAAGAACACCAAGCAAGGGCAAGATTGAAGCTTAGACAGCTCCTGGGAGTGGGAAAAAGGAAAGACTGCAGGGAGGCTGTCCTCTTAAAGTAGCAGGGCTAAGGACCTGAGGGTCTGTTTGCCAGGCAAATCAGTTACCAACCGGACATCCAACAGCCTGTTTGGTTATTCAAATCACAGCAGCTGTCTGAGGAAGCGGGGGTGAGGAGTGGCTGTGATTGCTTGCTCCAGAGGGTGGAGAGACAGCACAGTGCAGTAGGGAAGGACAAGGGGAGGATATAGGCTATGCATCTTCCAACAGGAAGCTCTACCTCTCTGATTTTCAGATGCCCAGAGCTGATGTTCAGCCAGAAACACTGTTCAGATGTAGCAGGTATTAGAATATTGGTGTGTTAATAGTCCAGCTCCTAGTGATTGCCTGGGACACCACTTCCCCACTCTCCCACAGTCCAGGAGCCAAAGGGGGTCACCTGACACAGCCAGGGGCTCCCAGAACCCCACCCCTACATTCAAGCGAGTCTGTGTTCTAGATTGATCATTGTCTGACCTCTTAACCCCTGGTTAAGGATTTTGAATATTCTCTGTGCAGTTACTTCCTCTCATTTATCCAGTCAGCGACTTCCTGAGCTCCAACTATGGGCCAGGCCTAGCTCAGCACTAAAAATGAACATATAACTTAGCCCATGAGGGAGACACGCCAGTAACAGTGCAGAATGACCAAAGCTATGATGGGGGATGCACAGGCAAAGTGATCCCAACTGCAACAGAGAAAACCCAGGGGGCTCAAAGGAGCCCAGAAGAGGCTCCTGATCCAGCCTAAAGGTTCAGAGATGACTGCTGGGTGTAGCCCTGAAGGAAGATGAGGTTTCAGGTGAAAGGGGAGGGTGTTCCAGGCAGAGGGAACAGTCTACACAAAGGCTTGGTGGTGAGAGAAGCATTATTTCTTCATTTCTTCACACTCCCTGAGAGTCAGTCCTGCTGATTCATTTGGGGCAGCAAGGGAGGCGGGACTGAGAGTCTGTTAGCCCAGAGCTTTGCCACTTTATCTCTGCAGAACCCAGGCAAGTCACTTCTTGCTTAGCCTCAGTTTCTTCATCTGGAAAATGGGACTAATGTGTCTCCCTATCACTGGTTTGTGTCAAAGATCCATGTAGATCATGTGGGGAGAGCGCTTAGCATGCAGCATATAAACAGGGTGGTTGTTAGGAAGTCTTGAGGGGTGGCTAGGCAAGCATGTGAGTTTCAGTCAGTCCATCTGTAAGTGGTAAGTGTCAGGACACCTGGGTGGCTCAGTCAGTTAAGCATCTGTCTTTGGCTCAGGTAATGATCCCAGGGTCCTGGGATCGAGCCCCACATTGGGCTCCTTGCTCAGCAGGGAGCCTGCTTCTTCCTCTGCCTGCCACTCCCCTAGCTTGTGCGCTCACTCTCTCTCTCTAGCAAATAAAATCTTTAAAAAATAAAGTTCTTTAAAAAGTGTTTTAAGTGTCTCCATCTCACAATTGTTGGATTTCATGCACCTGTGACTGGTGTGTGCAGCACAGGTCTGGCAGCCCAGTATCTAGGATCGGTCCAGCGGGGGAGTACAGGGCGGAAGTTGCACTGAAGAATGAGCTGGCAAATGGTTAGGGGGAGCCATCTTGCCTCTTTCCCCGTGCCCAGTTCTCCCTGCCCAGCACCATGTCTCTTGGGGCAAGTGGTTCCTGTGTTACTGAAAACACATTAGGGAAGAAATTCAGGGCTGGGTGTCTTTGTCCCCATACCCTTTCTGTCCCACTCCTCCCATACCCCCTCGCTCCCAATAGGATTTCGACAATGGGGAGCCCCACAGAAGATGGGGGAGAGGATTTCTCCAACTCTCTCCCTATGAAGTTGCCAGGCACACAGCTCCCCTCACGGCAGCCCTCTCTCCAGGATTGGCTCTTCTGGGTCCCACTTTGCTCCCTTGTATCTATAGCTCAAGGCTAGGGTGGGAGTAACAGCTCTTCTCTGGGACCAGTCCAGGATACCGTACAGGCCTTAGGATTTCCCTATCCCCTGCCCACTTCTTTGTAAAAGATCCCTTCACTGAACTCTCTTTGAAACATCCTGTGTGAGCATTCTGTCCTCTTCCTGCTAGGGCCCTGTGGGTCCACAAACCGCATGCGCACACATTCATCAGCAGTGGTTTCTTAACCAGCCAGTTTGTCGGAGGAGAGATTCTGGTCTTTCCAGGGCAGAAGAGCTTAGCATTAAGAAGTGGAGAGTGGCAGACACACTGGGTCCTCTCTACCAGCCCACCCTCTTGTGCTGAGAGAACCCAATTTTGTTTGAACAGCGATATGGTCAGGACAGGAAAGATGGTTGGTCCAAGTGAATCAAAGCCATCTCCATTCTTGCCTACAACCGCTCTGAAAGAAGCGTCTAGGAAGGCTGAGCACCTTTCTTACTACCCTGGCAGCTGCCCTCCTTCGGGCCTTTGCTCCTGGTTAGCTGAGAGCATACAGCCATGTTGCAGCTCTGAGGGCCTAAGCTGGGGGGTGGAACTCAGCCTCAGAAGGTAACGGGGCCAGGAACATAATCAAGAGTAATAAATGTCCCTGCAGCGTGGGCCCCCACAAGCCAGCCATTTGCTACTTGTGCGTTGAAGACTTTTTAAAGTTTATTTGAGAGAGAGGGAGCAGAAGCAGGGTTAGGGGCAGAGGGAGAAGCAGACTCCCCACTGAGCGGGGAGCCCAACGTGGGACTCCATCCCAGGACCCCGAGATCATGACCTGAGCCAAAGGCAGACGCTTAACCGACTGAGCCACCCAGGCGCCCCTGAAGGCTTAATTATGATACAGGGTGGGAGGAGGGGTACATTCCACTAGGGAAAGGCTCAAGATGGTCCTCTGGGTATTCAGGGGCCTGGATGCCAAGCCTTGCCTCAAGGATCTTTGGTGGCCAGGCAAGGCAGGGGCAAGGAGAGAGGGTCCCCAGGGGTCTGTAACCTGTGGGGCAGGGCAGGGGCAGAGCCTCTGAGAAATAAACAATACTGGGCATCTCCTTAGCTACCAAGATCAGGCATCTTATTTAGGGGGGAAAATTGTGTTGTGAATATTTCTTGGATTTAAATGTCATGAAGCAACAAGGCCCTGCCCCCTTGAACCCCATTCTTCCTCCCATCTCCTCTCTTACCCTTTCTTCTAGCTCACTCCATTCCTTCCATAGATGTTTGATCCCCCCAGCGGGGTGTTCGCACTGGCTGCTCTGTCTGCCCGGATATCTTCCCAAGATGTCCACATGGCCTGTGCCTTCTCTCCGGCCTCAGCTCAAATGTCACCCCGGAAAGGCCTTCCCTGGCTCATCAACCAGCACAATGAACTCCCCTAGCTTACCTACAGTTCCACAGATACTGCTTCAGTTCCTGTTTTGCTCTCTAGAAGGCTAATGCCACGAGGGCAGATGCTTTGCTGGTCTTGTTCCTCCCACTACCCCCAGCGTGTACGACAGACAGGAACCCCGCAGGACTTTTTGAACAGCACCATTGGTTGTGATGTGCGTTAGTGTTTCGAGAGACAGCAGAGGGCCATGGCCTTATGCTGAATGGTCTGGCTCTGCCACGAGGCAAGCCTGGGTTTGAGTCCCAGCTGTGTGGGATCCGGAGCAAGGCTGGATCTCTCTGGGCTTGTTTACGGTGGGCCGTGACCATCCGACGGAGCAGAGAGGGACTCAGGCAAGTGGTGGTTGAGGCCACAGCAAGCCGCACGGTGGGGCTGTGGTTCAGGGGAGGGCCCTCCCTTGCCGGCTTCCTTTTCATAGAGAATTGGGACAGTGGGGGCTTTTGTGGTCACAAGAGTGGCCTTCTTGGCAGACCTGCCACATGGCTAGATGCCAGCTGCCTGGGGAAGCTGCTACCACAGCTGGGAGCTCATGGGATGAATCTGGATAGAATCTTCCTGCTGGGGAGAGAATTACTTGTCCCAGCTGCTGGATGGCCTGGGCATGCTGCCCGATTGTCCAGTCACTGAGTTGCTGGTCTCTCCTCAATTTCCCCTGCTGTAGGTGGGGACAAAAGCCTGGACCTCATAGGATCCAACCTGGGCTTGGCCTGGGGGCCCCGAACCAGTGGGGTGGCAGTGTGTGTCCTGGGAGCCAGGGTCTGGCACATGGTGATGGCAGTGGCTCCAGTGGGTTCTTGGGCACCAGTAAGGGGGCAGGGAGGAAGGGCTGGCCCCTCCTTGGGGAACAGCTGGGCCCCACTGGGCCAGGACCCCAACTGACCCCATAGCAGCTCAGGGGGGATGGACGACATGGCATCCAGGTGTTGGGATCATCATTATTGCAGTTCCCTAATTTCTTGGGAATGTTGGTCCCATTGACGGAGTCCTGCGCTGGGGCTGATGTCCCCCAGGTGAGACAGGAAGAGGAAGAGCAGGTGAGGGTACAATGCTACGTGGCCAAAACCTGCTGCATACAAATTTCATCCCTTGCAAAGTTCATCCACCCACGTTCCCCGGGCTGGTCCAACACAACACTGCTGTCCACCCTACCCTCCTTCCCCACATCCACCTGAGGGAGCTTCGTGCATACGCCCCGACAGGCACCAGGAACCATTCCTCTAAGCTGTCAGTTTATTTGCTTAAGACACCGATCTCTTCAGAAACAGCAGGGCTGGCGTGGAGAGGAGGCTGCTGGCCCTCAGTCCCCCCGCACCTTCCTCTGCACGGCCTGCACCAGCAGCTCCGAGTAGTGTTCCAGCAGGGCATGCAAATCTGGGCTGGCCAGGGGGCACAGTGTAGTCGGGGAGGGGGAACCCGGGCTGCCCTGGGCCTGGGCCACGTCAGTCCCAACCAGCCAGTCATTGGCCTCTAACTGGTTATGGATCCAAAGAAAGGTGGAGGCCAGCTCAGTCCGTGCCTGCCACTGCTGCTCAGTGCTCACCTGGTCGCTGGAGACCATCTGCAAGGGGTACAAACCTTGTCAGGGGCCACCCAGCCCCGGCAGTCCCGGGGAGCCACCCAGCCCTCTCCCCTGGCCCCGGGGCTGGGCTCACCAGGCGGTAAAGGTCCAGGGCTTCTTGGAAGGTGGTCTGAAGTCTGTGCACGACAGTGCTCAGTTCACGGGGAGCTGGGGGCAGGACCCTGGCCGGCACCCCAGGCTCCTCCCAGTGTCCAGGGCTGCCCTGGACCAGACTGAGCGCATCTGGGGTGAGAGGGGAGGGAATGAGAAAGACACCTCCACTTTCTAACTGGTCTAAGAGAGGCTGGGGTGGCTGGGCTGATCCCTCTGCCTGGGATGCTTCCCTCAGTCCCCTAAGGCTCACTTCCCTCCCGCTCTGCTCAAATGCCCCCTTCTCCTTGAAGCCTTTTCTCATTATCTGGCTGAAAACTCTAGCCACTGTCCCCCCCCTTCTCACTCCCTAAACCCTTTTATTTCTGTCCTTAGCACATACTCCTTCAGGATACTCTTAACACTTTGCTTTACATTTAGTCTGGCCATCTCCCCAGTGAGGGTGCCCATTCTTTGTAGTCTTGTTGACCACCAAGCCCCATGTGCCCAGGGTCTAGAACAAAGCCCAACACATATGAAGTGCTTACTAAATATCTAAGTGAAAGAACGAACGAACGAACAAATGAATGGCGCAACCCCTGAGCGGGGTCAAGTGCCCACCTTCAGAGCTAAGCCAGCTGTACATGGGATGAGCTCGGGGTACAATCCCTTGCCCCAAGAGTGGTACTTACCAGGGGTGGGCTCCAGGAGAGAGGTGACGCTGCCAGGAACCCCAGGCCTGGCCTCTGGAAGTAGGGCACTGCTGGGGTGGGCAGGGGCTTTGAGGGGCTCGGGGGCCAGGAGCCTTGGGAGAAAGGTGGAATTGTGGAGCCTCAGGGAGCTTGCATCCATGGGGCTGGGGACTGGGAAGGTGGCTGTTGTGACGGTGACACTGGGCTGGGTGGCTGCAGGTTCCAACGGGGGAGGGGGCAGCAAGAGCCTGTCAGAGATGCTCGACAGGGTCAGCTTCAGGCTGGCCCGGGCCTCGTGGTTGCCCCAGGAGGACAAGGCAGGTTCTCGGCCCTCGCTGTTAGAGCTGGGTGCTGCCGTGGTGGGGATGGCCTGGAGCTCCTGGCCCAGGGATGCCATCTCCGCCGGGGAGGAGGGCCTGTGGAGGGGCCTGGCCAGCTCAGCCAGCACAGGGTCCTCACTGTCCTCGGGGGAGGTGCTGCGTGACATCTTGGCCTGGGAGCTGGCAGTGGCCTCCATGTAGGGGTGGGTGGAGGGGCCGTGGACAGCCTGAGGCAGGCGTGGAGTGGGTAGGGCCGTGGGCGTCGGAGGCTTCCTGTCAGTGGGCAGCACTGAGGAGGGGGCATAGGGCACCAGGCCGGAGAGGCGGGGGGCTGTAAAGGAAGAAGTTGGCTCAGTCTCACACCCCAGCCGCAGAGCCGAGGGAGAGGGGCCCACCCCAGGTGGCTTTCGGGCCTGAGTGGACCCTGCCCATCCCCACTGCCCCATGGTTCGGATGGGCATCCAGGACCGTTTGCTGAGAAGCCCAGGGCTGTTTGTCTGCGGATGGGGGCACTCACTCAGTGGGCGCCAGGCTTCCGGGGTCTCAAGGGGCTCCTCAGCCTTTTTCCCAGCGAGGACCTACAAGCACAGCATGCGGTGAGGACAAGGCCTCCAGGCTCGCAGCCCTAAGTCCGGAGGGAGGTGGCCCCAGTACTCACGTTGGTCCTGCCTGGGGACGTGTAGCCAGGGCCTGCTCTCAGGGGCTCTGCTCTGGACTGGCTGCCCCCAAGCTCCGGGAATTTGACCTCTGGGGACTTCACCAGGTGCAGGGGCAGCCGGGGAGGGAAGCTGTGGGTGAACCTGTGGGAAGGAAACCAGGCGGTTGTGGCTGTCCTGGGGGTCCCTGAGGGGACACAGCCCCCCCCGGGGGGGGATAGAGAGATGGGGGCAGGGTGGGGGTTCACCAGCTTCTACCTGGATGTCTTCTGGAGGCGTGAGAGGAACTGGGCTGAAATGCTCAGCCGGGGATTGAAGAAGTCCTCAGCCTCAGGGGCCTCCAAGTCTCTCAGGGATCCATGGAAGAGCTCTAGGGGAAGATGCCAAAGGAGTCTTCAGAATCCCTCCAGCCACTCAGCCCTGGGCCCAGGAAGGCCCGCAGACCAGCAGGTGGATCCCCAGAAACGCCATCAATAGACCACCCACATGCCTGGGGGAGCAAACACAGCAGGGAGAAGAGCCTGCACGGCTCAGTCCTTGAGAGAAAACGCAAGCCCTCTTACCACCCCTGCCAGCTCTGCAGGGAAGCCCTACCCGAGACACCCACGGTGTGCCCAGCACTGGAAGGCCTGCCCGGGCAGGGCCCTACCCTCGGGGTGAGCGTCAGTAAGCGTCTCGAAGTGGTGGCGGAGGAACTTCTCCTGCTCAGGGGTCTGGGGCAGGGAGCCGTTGGATATGCCCAGCACCTCGGGCTGGGATAACTCTTCTGCAGAACCTGGGCATCCTGGGGAGAGGCGAATGGGAGGCCAAGGGGGTGGGCAGGAGAGAATCATCAACACCATGAGTCACGGCAGACGCCCAAAGACGCCAGACGCTTAACAATGGAGAAAGCTGGACTCGCCCATCACACACCCTGTTGCCACTAGACCGAGGAGAGGCTAATGGCTCTGCTTCCTAGACAAGGAAATGGGGGCTAGTGGGCACCAAGTGCAGGGCTGATGTGGGGAAAGTGATTATATATCATGACCAACCCCGAGCAAGTCCCATGCACCGTCTTCCCCACATCTGGCCTCTGCTCACCCAGCGTGGGGGGCATCATCATGTCAAACCGAGGGGCCGGGGCTGGCCGTGGAGGGGGCACATGGTTGGTGGTGAAGCTGCACTCCAAGTCAGCCTCTGACTCCCCCAAGTCTGGAGGGGCAGAGCGGGAGTCAGGAGCCCAAAGCCAGGCCCTCACTGGGTGAGTCAGGTAAGTGGCTCAGGTTCCCAGGGCTTTGGTTTTCCAATCTGAAGAGTGGGGGGTAATAATACCCACTCTGTTTTTATGGACCAGCAAGTTTACACTTCAAGGAAGTGGCAGAGCTGGGCTCCTGCCAGTCAGCAGTTGGGCTCGAGAATCCTCAGGGAACAGCAGGGACCATGTCTGCCTCCGTGATAGACTCTGAGCTTCAGAAAGACTGAGTCAAGGTTGCCATTAATACCCAGAAAGGAGCCTGGCTGGACAGATTACTGCAGGGTCTCCACCTGCCGCCACTCACCGTCAGGTGGTCTCTGATCCTTCGGGCAGAATGAGGAGACTCTGAGGTAGGAGTCACCTTGCTGGTCTCTGGACTCCCCCTTGATGTCCTTCGTGCAGTACTCGCTGCAGTGCCGGGGGTGGGGCAAGGGAATGAGAACATACTGGTAGTAAACAGCTAGCCCCCACCCTGACCCCCTAGACATCTGTGCCCTGCTCCTACTGAGCACTGCCTTGCCTCTCCTGCCTCCTGCAAAGGCTCCCTGCACCTCCACCTGGAACCAGGGCAACTGAGGCTGCAGGGCCAGGCTCCCGTGCCACCCGGGCCTTACTGCTCTGCCCCATTCCCACAGGCCCATGGGGAGAGCGGAGAGCAATTCTTCCAACGCGTGCCTATCAGCTGAGGCCTCCTCTCTCCAATGCCTTAAGGCTTCCCTGGGTGCACAGGACACTCACCTGTCTGTCCCTGGGACTGTCACCTCCGCCTCCAGGGAGTAGATGATGAGCTCGCTGTCCTCAGAGGACTCCCTCTGTAGGGGCAGGAAGGAGGGATGCCCCCCGCCGACCTTCTGGGGGCTCTCCGACTGCAGGGTGGAGAGGACACAGCCATCTGAGGTGGTCATGGCAGCCAGGGCCCTTTGCAGGCCGCCAGGCGTACCACACCCACGATAACAGGGAAGACGTGCTGGAGCATCCCGCTGAGCCAGGGCCTGGGCCCGGTGAGGTGCTCATCCTGAGCTCCCTCTGCGCTCCTCCTGCTGGTCGGCAGCCCCTCTACGGGCAAGGCTCCAATCCTCCAGAAGCCGATTTGGGTGACGTTCAAGAACAAACTAATCCTCGGTGAGAGGTTAAAAGGCTGTGCCTCGGGTGGGGGTACCGATTAGGAGGGGCACAAGGCGGTCTTCCAGGAGGTAGAAGATACTCTCTATCTTAGGGCCTGGGTGGTAGATACATAGGTGCATACATAGGCAATAACTTGTCAAGCTGTGTACCTAGGATTTGTACACACAAGTGTATGTGTATCATTTCACAATAAAAAAGACGGTTTATACAACAGAATAAAAGATAATTTTGTTTGGAAAATAACAGAACAAGAGCTAAAGTTGCTTCAGCACTTCTGAGGGCCCAGGCCCTATTGGTGCTGGATTCCTATCAAAGCCCTCTGAAGGCTTTCTTTTTATGACCATTTTTAAGAAATCTTTCTTTCTTGGTTATCTTTTTTTTTAATGACCATTTTTTTTTTGAAAGCAGAAACCTAGAGAAGCAAGCCTCACGGCAAGTGGTCACACAGCAAGGAAGGGGTAAGGTCAGGGCTCTACCTGCTCAAATGACCCCCTCCCCCCCACCGTCCCCAGCCAGCCACAGGCCTGCTCTCAGGCCCAAGCTCTTCACCCCCAAGGGACCCACCTCCCAGACTCCTGGTCTGCCTGGGAAGTCTCACTTGCACTAGGCCCAGGGCCTCACCCTCCTGCCCTCCACCACATCATGTAATCATCTTGCACCCCTAGAGTGGGAAAATCAGCCTGATTTTCAAAATGATACTGCCGAGGCCCCAGGTCCCGGGTGGGCAGTCACAGTGCAGGGACCGTGGGCCGGGCTGGGGCGGTCTGTACCTCACTCAGCAGGGCCACCAGGCTCTGGGGCTCCACTGTATCCAGAATAGAGCCCTCCAGGCTCTCGGGCTTCGTGGGGGTGAAGTAGCAATCCAGGTCCTGGGCATCCAGGATGGTCTTGAGGGGCTCCTGGTCAGCACGCTCCGCCCAGCGTCCATGGGGCTTGTAGCTGCGCTGGGCATGGAAGGCTGAGCCATCTGCCACGTCATCATCTCCTAGCTGAGGGTGACAGGAGATGGTCAGACAGCTAGCCAAGAGATCATCAACTCCAGTGGGAGCCAGGGACTCTGCATGGACTCCATCCAGTCTCGGCTTTAAACACCACTCAGCAACGGCCTCCAGAGAAACATCTCCAGCCTGAATCTGTTAAATTTCAGAAGCGCACGTGCAATTGCTCTCCATCTATATGGATATTTCAGAGCGAACACATGTTGAAAGCAACTCCTGATCTTCCCCCCCAGATTGACTCCTCCTAAAGCCTTCCTTATCTTATTCTTGCCTGCTGCTTAGGCCCCAAACCTTGAGGTCATCCTTCATTCTTGTACTGTCCCTCATACTCTCCACCTTGTATTTCTTCAGCAAATTCTGTTAGCTCTGCCATCCAAACACATATGGCCACCTCTCCCACCCTGGTCCTGCCCAGCACTGCCTGCAAATAGGACTGTGGCCTGAGAGACAGCGGAGGGTGGGTACTTGAGAACTCAGCTCTGGAGCAGCCCACATCCTCGAATTCCTAGCTGTGTGACCCTGGACACGTTACTTAACCTCCCTGGGCCTCAGTTTCTCCATCTGTGAAATAGGGATATGAAAAGGTCCTATACTTCAGTGGGGATTAAATGAGATAATACATACAAAATCCTTAGAACAGCCTGTACAGAGTAAGTGTGCTATCCATGTTTGTTGAATGTAATTCCACTCGTAGCATTTACGGATAAGGGGAAGCGTGGGGTCTTGAGAGACCTGGTCTGCAGGGAAGGGGATGGCAGGGAGGATTTCCCTGAGGAGTTGACAGTTAGGTTTTGACTGAGGACTGACATTGTTACTGAAATAAATCATCCAACCTCGGGTGTAGGATTCTGCCGCCAGCTTCTAACCCACTGGCTCCTAGCCTGCGCCTCCCCTAAGTAACATTCATGCGATCCTAACATCATCTTCTTTCTCTCACAACCAGTCATTTGGTTCCACCTTCAAAATCTATCCAGCCTCCCACCTCTCCTGCCTGGATGATCCCAAGTCTCCTCCCTGGCCCTCTGCTTGCCCCTCATGTTCACACTTGGCGCTACCTCATGGCCTTCCTCAGCTCAGAGCCCTCCTTTGCCTCCATCTCACTCGGTGCCAGGGATGAAAATAAGTGGGGAGGACAACGAGGACTATTTAGGGAATGCACCACAGCCCACACGGTGCCACACCATCTGGCCCCCATCATCTCCCTGAGCCCTTCTCCCCCCAACCCTCATTCACCCTCAACCCAGGCAGTTGGGCCTCCCCGTACCTCTTTGAACATGCTAATAAGCATAATCCTGCCTCATGGCCTTTGTCCTACATACTGTTCTCTCTGCCTGGAACATTCTTTCCCATGAACTGCATTTCTCCCTTGCTTCAACTCTGTTCAAATATCACCTTCCCAGTAAGGCCTTTCTGTTCATCATAAAATTGTTGCCCCCTCCCCCCAATACTTGTTATTTTCTTTCTCAATTTTTTTCCTCCACAGCACTTATCAGCTCCCAAAATACTATACAACTCATTGGTTTGATGTGGATACTGCCCATCTCCCACACTAGAAAATGAGCCTGTGAAGGCCGACGTTTTGTCTGCCCTGCTCCCTGCCGTCCGGATAGTCAGAACAAGACTGGCACAGGGAAGGTGGTCACTATACGTGTTATAAGCATGAAGGACTGTCTAAGCTGAGACTGGAAGGATGACAGGGTTCTCTAGGGAAAAGAGAGACACAGAGAGGGAAACGGGCTCCCAGAAGAAAGAAGAGCATGAAGGAGAGCACACCCACTTTGCCAGCCCTAGGCATCCCGGTCTCTGGGCAGACTCACCAGCCGCTTTGCCCAGAGTGGCAGTTTGCCATTGGTCAGCAGACACCGAGGATCTGGAGAGACACATGGAATCCATCAGGAGAGAATAAACAACCCAACAGACAAACAGGCAACATACATAAATAGGCAGTTCTCCAAAGAGACAATACAAGAAACAACAGACATATTACTCATTGTCAGGAAAAGGCAAATTTACACAATGGACCCAAACTAAAATGCTTCATATGATCAAGTGTTGGCCAAAGTGTGGGCCTGCTAGGTGGGGCAGTAACTGGATGTGGAGGGCCCTTGGGGTTCTCTTTTGAAATAAAAAGTGTACTAACCCCAGAGCCGGCAGCACCAGCCCTCACCTCCGTCCTGGAGAACCACCCTCACATACGCCAGAGGAGGCCTAGGAGTGGTCAGTACGGCCTTATTCACCGAGGGGTACAGTTAGAAAACCCTAAATGTCCAGCCAGAGGCAAATACCTTAAAATATCCCACCATGCTGTTGGTAAAAGAGGGAGGCCTGTGGCGCACCTAAGTGGCTCAGTCGGTCGAGCATCTGACTTGATTTTGGCTCAGGCTCAGGTCATGATCTCAGGGTGGTGAGATCCAGTCCTGCACCGGGCTCCCCGCTCAGCATGGAGTCTGCTTGAGATTCTCTCTCTCTCTCCCTCTGCCCCTCCCCCTCCTCACACTCATTCTCTCTAAATAAATAAAATCTTAAAAAAAAAAAAAGAGGCCTCTGTTTTGTATCCACCAATAGGTGGCTATTTCTTTTTTTTTTTTTTTTAAGATTTTATTTATTTGAGAGGTTGATATTTCTTCTCTCTTTTTTTAAAGATTTTATTTATTTATTTGACAGGGAGAGAGAGAGCACAGCAGGGGGAGCGGCAGGCGGAGGGAGAGGGAGAAGCAGGCTCCCCA